CCATTTTAAAAGGGTTTGCAGGTCCTCCTGCCCCCTTCAGTCACTATAGATATTCAAAGTGGGAAAAACTCCCTCCTTTCTTAGGCTATGTTGACACTGCAGATTACATTGGTACAGGTTATGCCGCTCACGGGTGTGAATAAGCCACCCCCTGAGCGACATAAGTTACCCCATCCTAAGCATAGGTGCAGATAGTCTATGTTAGCAATAGAGCATTAGGGCTAGTCTACACTGGAAAAAAACCCACCTCAACGAGGGGCATAGCTCCCAGCACTGGGGTACTGTTTACACTGGTGCTTTACAGCGCTGCAACTTGCTGCTCTCAGGGGTGTGTTTTTTCACATTCCTGAGCGAGAAAGTTGCAGCGCTGTAAATTGCCAGTGTAGACAAGCCCTCAGTGCCGCTGAGCCACTGTAAGCCCTGCAGTGTAGCCACAGCCTTTGTTTTCAAAGACTGGGGTCTTCTTTTCAGTTTCAAGCTGTTCCCATTTGCTTTGATAGTTTCTCGTTATTTTTCCCTGGGCTGGACAATGGCTGGGTGCTTGAAGCCAGTCTCACCTGATTGGGGAAGTAGCCCCATCCCTGCCTGATTGATTCATTGCCCTGTTAGGTGATGCTGAAGCTATACCACAGTTACAATTGCCATTTTCTACATGTTTATGCACATACATTCGTAACCATAAGCAGTTGTACATATTTCAGAATATCTATTAAGTTTAGTGCATTACAAGATTTCATAAAATATCCTATTTGATATACTCTCACAACAGTGAAATGACTGTGTGCAATCAGTTGGTTCAACTGCTTATTTTTGGGGGGTTAAACCTCCTGTTCTCCCCTTGGTCTGGACCCTGACTGAGACACCTGTGTTTTGTAGTGATTAGATATTTTGATGGTTATAATATTTCTGGTTGTACTCAGAGGGTGAAAGTCACCCCGTACAGTGGGCTTTGCACCACTTAAGTCTAAAAGGATACAATAGGTAAAGTGAAAGTAAGAAATATTTGATATACCCAAACCACTTCTTAAAAAAAAGCCTTCTTAACTACAGTATGTTGAAGTGATGATGAAATCAATTCCACACCTTCCTCTGACAAAAAAAGGTACAATACCTATTTCATTATGTGTTGTAATTATCAACCTGTTCCCATTGTAAGCAATGGGAGTTCTATGCAGAGAGCTTACTGAAGTTTGCCATGTGTTTCTGAAATCAAACACATCTGTGTCTCAATGTGAAACTGGGACTCTAGAATTTAGAATAAATAATCCACAGAAAATGTATACCCCTTTAAATACCATGAAAAGGAACATATAAAAATTGTCAGCATAATAAAATTCTCAGATTTTCATGGTACTCTTAAACAAAACAAACACTTGCACAGAAAAGGGCAATTCCTTCCAGCACAATAATGTACTTAGTAACAAGAATAGAAATGCATTTCAGCAGAAACTGGCATCTGGGAAGAGATGATTTTATAAATCTTGTAAGTGAGTTTAAGTCACAGCATGTCAGGGCTTGTTAAGCTAATGTGACCATACATTCCATTCGTACTTAACGTTACATCCTGTTACGGCCAGTTACTACTCAAGTAGCCATATGCACAGAATAACTTTTACAGCTACAATGACTCAGATGTATCTGAAGATACCAAAGGAAGAAGACGCTACCTCTTGAGTCGTGTCCTAAATACAAATATCTTAAAAACCAATATGCAATATATTTACCAAAAAAAAAAAAAAAAAAAAAAAAATTTTTTTAAGACTAAATGCAGTTCTTTTAAACCAGCAAAATTTTAGACAAAGACTGACAACCTAATAATTCAGGAGATTTGACAAAAATGTGTCTGCTTTTATTTAATGTCTCTCCTTTTTTGGTAAAATGTTTGTTAATACTGAAAATCAAATATTTACTTACAATAAACATTCAACCTGCCACTAATCTGGTGTAGTTTATGATTCCTCACATATTGATTAATAAAAGCACAATGTAACACAAGTGTAATCCACCAGTAGCCATTAGTTTCTTAATGCTGACCAAATGCCCACAAATATGGGAATTCTTCCACATGCATGAAAGGAAGCGCTTATATATCTGGGTAAAAAAACATTTGGACTGCTGTATTAGTTGATTTTATGGTGGACTTCCATTTTTAGAGAATAATTCTCAGGGCAGTTAGCGATACTGTTAAAAATATAAATTTTTACTTTTTTAAATAAAAACTTAAAATTGATTATCCTAGTAAAATTTTCCTAAATAGTCAATGACATAGACTAGCAATTCTTGGTTAGGTCTATATGAAGAACTAAATTATGCATATATATGACCTGCATCTAAACATCACTTATTGGCAGGTTACACTCTCACAGAACATACTGTGCTTTTTTCTTCTTTTTCATTATAGACTTTACCTCAACCTCTGGTGATGTTTTGATATTGTGGTGATAGATGCCTTGGAAATACCTTTCAAAGCAGAAACTTTTTTTTTTAAGCAGTCCAGATCCAAAACAGCAGAATTGCTTGTATTCATCTCTTTCTAAGAGCCACAGCTGATCTAGCAAAAGTTGATCCCAATTCAAGCCTACATGTCATCATCTATAGCTGCACCAGTCTATGCACTCCAGGCAATCCTTAGTTTGTGTGTGATTTTATTTCTATCTTTAGTAAATCTTTGTATAAAAGCCATGTGGCACTACTTTAAGTCCTTTATTTCCAAGTGGTCTAAAAAGGTCTGGCTCAACTAGTAGGTTTAGAGCATGAAAGACGTATAACAACATATCTCAGTTGGAACTCTTTTTTTAAACTTTGGCCTAGTAATGTAACAATGATGGTCCCCTGTGAAGGCCCCTAGTGCAATCATCCAACATAGATAGAAGTCTTTGATAATAACTAAACCTCTATAAGCAAGGTAAGACTGCAAACTTTCTACCCAAAAAATTAAGTAATATGGCCTCTGTCTTGGTTATGGTGTTTGAAGGGTCTTCCCCAGAATTCAGTGTAGTGATGGGATAGTTAGCCTTTCTTTTGTTTTGTGGCCTGTAGGAGACTCTCTCAGTCATAGGATCACTCCCTTTTAGTTGTGTGTGTTTTTTTTTTAATTGAGAAAGATTAAAAGTGAACTCCCTGTACAACAAAGTATGTAAAAGCAAAAGGGATGGGTGTAGCGCTTAGGAAAAATGGGGAGCATGGAGGAGAAGCAGAGAAATATCAAGAAGGGCTGTAGGCACAAACCATAGAAGAGCGCTGGGGATCATCAACTAGTTCTCAGCAAATCTAATCTGTTAAACAATTTCTAGGGGAGAAGGTTAAGTGGTAATACTAGTCTTTATTTTCTTGGGTACTCCAAGAACTTCCTATATCATTATCCACCATTAACTACAGTACAAAAATATTATAGTGGGGATTTTTAATGGGTTTTTCTTTTACAGAAATCTTAGAAATGCTACACAGTACATATTATACAAGCATCTAAGCAATGCAAGTGGCATTACATGTTTAAATATAAGAAAACTTTTACTCTTATGGAAGCATCTAAGCCACATGACCTTGTATCTAGTCTTTTTTTGGAAAGAAGGATGAACTGGCTTGGCTTTGCCAGTCTGCTAGCTGCATTTAAAAGAAAGTCAAGAAAAGGAAGGAGTCCGAATAGACACCATGAAAACTAAGAAGATAAGAAAAGTTGAAGTTCTGAAAAGAACCCTTTCACTGAGTGTGCAAATAAAGACGGTCCATCTCTTCATTACCATGCTACTCATCCACCTCTGTTACACTGCACAAAAGGGAAAAAAGCGGTCTTTATAGTTGTACATGATTATATTTTCCTTTTGTATTGAGTTCAAAGTCTTTTTTAAAAAGCAAGAGTAGATTGCTCACAATGTAATGGGCCATTCCCAGGAAACGATAAAATGGCCTTAACGTTTTATATTAATACAATAGGTTATGTATAAAACAGTTTTTAAAAAGTTAATGCATATTAGCTTAGAACAGCCATATTTTAATACTGTGTGACTGAAAGTTCCAGTAGAGCAGATGAATGGAGCTACATGAGAAAAAAAAACGCTATGACAAAGGGATAAAGGTTTAACTAAAAGGACTTGAATCTATATTTCAGGTACCTCTTTACCTTCCATCAGGAAACGAGTTATTAGGAGTAATGAAATCAGGGATAGAAAATACAAAAACTTTTTAGATCTTTCTGTGCAAGGCGGTGACACTGGCCTTTACTTCTTCACTTTGTAACGATTCCTTTGAGTTGTGGCTCTGAAAAAGCTATGAAACATCTTCCTGTTATTTCTTTTTCATCTTTCCAAACACTGGCCAGTAATAACCCCTTTCCTATTCTTTCCTTGCTTTTTTTGAAACACATATTGACTGTAATGACTATAAATTATTCAGTCAATGTGTCAGATTTATAAAAGTGTTAGAGCTCCTCTGTGCTGCTGCTAGGTGCCTATGAGAATGTTTAGTGTGTGGGAGCCAGAACACACGGATTCATTTTAACTATGCCTTTTCTCACTCCAGGTCACTGCAACCCAAAAGACATTTAAATATTGAAAATGTTAACTAGGTTTTGGTCATCTCAGTGCTTCACTTTGTAACTGATGGATTGCTTCCTCTTTCACCAAAACCAACAAGCAGCAGACTCAATCCTGGCCTCTCTCCATAACTTTCTAGTGCCTCTCTCCATAACTTCTCTTCTCTTGTGACAACCTCTCGATAGGTAGAGTTCCATATCCAGAACTTTTTTATTCCAAGTATGGAATCTTTAATGAGTTTTATTATAATATGAATATTTAACTGAATAGCTAGAGCATAGTTATGATCATTAATAGACAAACCATTCTGACTGATTTAAATGTTGATCTGAATCCATAAATAACAGGTTTGCAGGATGGGTTGTAACAAATAGACGTACTTCAAAATGCAGGAAACTAAAAACAGGTAAACATCGCTATGTGTGCAACTACAATGCCTCTTACTTGGGAATGAAAATGAATACTCACAAAAGCTTCAGTAGTTCCAATATGTAGCAACCCATCTTCTGACTGGAACATCAAGATGATATGTTCTCTTCGTATTCCACATTGTCTCCCAGTTCAGTACTTGAGCAACATCAAGGTCTTGTTCTTAATCTGCAAAGCACCAGGACTGGACTACCACAAGGATGGCCTTTCTGCGTACAATATCTACTGCAGAATTCTTTGATCTATAGCAGAGCTATGACTGATGGAGCCTTGGATGAAACATCTGAGTGTTGGGGAAAGAATTATCAGTAAAAGATTCCTGGTTGTTGAACTTCCTGCTTCCAAAGATTAGCATAAGTCAAGTCTTGCTTTTTAAAGACAGGGCAGGACATGCTTCTCTGCACAGGCCTTCCACTAATAACAGAGGCTTCAAAAAACTTAAAACAAATACACATCTGTTGAGTCCTTCCTTTCTTCCAAAGGATCCAGAAAAATGCAAACTAAACCAGAAAGGAGAGATGTAGGCAGTCTGTTATCAAACAGCAAGTGACTCAATCTCTTTTGTTGCCTGATTTCTGAGTGATGGGTCTTTAGAATTATCTAGATTGGTAACAACTTTTATGTATTATCAATTACACCAGACTAGCAGTTTCTTATAGAAAAATATCTCGGATACACACCTCTTTGTCATATAGGAAGGCATAGCATTTTTTATGGTATTCATAACCCTGAGCACCCTGTGCTACAAGACCACATTGTTAGACACAAAGGGCATCATTAGATTCTTCAGTAAGTCAGGCTGGGAAGACTATCACCATCCTAACTACAATAGCTCTGTAATTGAGACTTCTCCTTGCTTTGCTCATAGACTGGGACTTTAATCCTTTATTGGTACAGAAAGACAGCCCACCACTATACTGTCTTTCTCATTATAGTTATTTGGTGCACTTCATACAAGTGGTTTTGGAAAATTTCTGGGCCTCTGCTATGTCAGCTGTTCTCAGGTTGAATTCTATTTGATTTTGGGCAGGGTGTCAGATCAAATTGTAAAGATTATTACACCTCTACCCCGATATAACTCGACCCTATATAACACGAATTCGGATAGAACACGGTAAAACAGTGCTCCAGGGGGCGGGGCTGTGCATTCCGGTGGATCAAAGCAAGTTCGATATAATGCGGTTTTACCTATAATGTGGTAAGATTTTTTGGCTCCCGAGGACAATGTTATATCGAGGTAAAGGTGTATTTGTATTGCAGTAGTTCCTAGTGGCCTTAGTCAGGAACTGGGGACCTATTCTGCTAGGCACAGTACACACATATAATGGAAACACAGCCATAGACCAAAAGACTTTCAGTGTAACAGCTGTAGATCTCTAAGGTAGAGCTGGGTGAATAGTGGTAAAAATTATTTATGAACATATTAGCAAATTCCAAGCAGCAATAAGACCTGACCTTCCCCCCCACTTTTCTGTGTACATTCATGAATCCAGGTTTTGTTCACACAAGTGTTATGTTGGGGGAGGGAGTCTTTTATTCATGCAAATGCAGGTATTTGTGTGCAAATGAGCATATTCACATGCAAATGAGTGCATTTACACCAAAAGCGCTTGCCCACCTGCCACATAAACACTGGCTTTTTGTGTTTGAGAACAAGGGTTTTCAGCAGGAGGGAGTGAATGGGAGAATGAGAAAGTCAATGATTTATAAACAACTGACTGGTCAGTCAGCCACAGTGACCAGGAAGAGAGGAGAAAGCAAGTAAGGGAAAAGTGGAGAGAACCCTTAGGGAGGTATAAAGGAAAAGTCCATGGAACTACTTTGTCCTGATGTAAAAATCAGATGAGGAGGTTGGGGGGGATAAAAAGGCTACCATTTCACTTATCCTCTGAGCTGAAGTAATGGCAAACCGGAATAAGGTATTAAAATGGGGTAATCTAAGTGAAATCTGCGACTACTAGCAGCAGATATCTCCAATGGCTGATGATGGGACACTGGATGGGGAGGGCTCTGAATTTCTACAGAGAATTCTTTCCCAGGTATCTGCCTGGTGAGTCTTGCCCACATGCTCAGGGTCCAACTGATTGCCATATTAGGGGTCAGGAAGGAATTTTTCCCCAGGTCAGATTGGCAGAGATCTTGGGGGGTGGGGTGGTTCGCCTTCCTCTGCAGCATGGGCACGAGTCACATGCAGGTTTAAACCAGTGTAAATGGTGGATTCTCTGTAACTAGAAGTCTTTAAATTATTATTTGAATACTTCAGTAACTCAGCTGGAGATTAGGAGTCTATTACAGGTGCAGGTGGGTGAGATTCTGTGGCTTGCTATGCGCAGGAGGTCAGACTAGATGATCATGATGGTCCCTCTGGCTTTAAAGTCTATGAGTCTAAGACTTAGAGACTCTCTGATTTCTTTATGCCCCTTCTCTCATCTAACAGATAAACTTTACTAAATGGTCAAATCCTGTCTAAATTCAAAGAGATCTTACAGCTAAGACCTGAACCAGTATATTGGAGACCAGTCCCTTTTCTAACCCTTCCCAGAGGAACTCTTGAAACACAGAAAAGGGGGACTCTCAGATACACCCTCTCTTTCTTACAGAAATAACCAAATTTGGCCCACAAGCAACTACAGGTGCCGGAAGTGCTAGTCTTCCTTGACTCTGGGAGATTTCCCATGCCCATTACTTCCTATGGTAGCTTTAGCGTTCTTAGCTGTCCCTTCACACTAGCCAGGTGTTTTAAGGATAAAGTACCTCCTCAGAAGCAGCAGAACCAACTAACTTATTCCTTATTTTTTTCTCATTAGATCTTTATATAGCTGAGGAACTACAGGCAATAAATATCCCCCAAATCTGTGCCAAGAATGAGAAAATACATCCACTAGTGCCACTTCAGGACCGGTGCATCTGACTACTAAGGTACATGAACAGCAGGTGGCTGTCCACTGAAGCGAATAGATCTGTGTATAGCTTGGGTTCCTCGGGGGCTTGGACTGGATACAGCTGCAGTTTGATAAAATACAGTTTCTCTGCTAGGTGCTGACTTATCCAGCATGTCTTTGAGAGATATTTCTACTCCTAACGGTAGCAAAAGAGCTTTGGACCCATTCAGTCCCCATTAGAGGTTGTGTTTTTTTAAAAAGTGTATAAAAGGTGATTACCACTGATTTTTTACGACGAGCTCTGTAGAAGTTTTCAAGCAGAATACTTCTCACTGCTCTAATTCCTAACAAACTGCTGTGTTGCTTTAACTCAGGGTGTGACCACCTGCTCCGTGCTCTTATGTGCACTCAGCCATGAAGACTAGCAGCTGGGCCTATAGCCAGCCACACCGGGTATGGCACAGTTACCAGTTGCTTGATATTCCCTCACATGCAGCACAGACACCACATCTAGCGCTTCACTCAGAGCAGCATCTCTCATGGCATATCTCAGCAGAGGATGCATCTCTCAGAGCTGTTTGACTTGCTCCAGGTCCCACGGGTAGCACATGGCAGAGCTAGGAACTGAACCAAGCACTACCTTAACCACAGAACCATCCTTCCTCCCATAGCACCTTTAGCACAAATTCAGTAAGCCCAAATTAAAGTCTCCCTCCTTTCTCCTCACCTTCTTTGATGACCAGTCAAGATGTCTATCCTTACCCAGGCTATACTGTCCTAAACCTCATCCCTGATGGCTCTGTGCCTCTGCCTCACCATCCCAGAAGTCCTTTGCAGTTCTGTGCCTCTTCTTACTTAGCCCATAGATTCTCTGCCCATTTACACTGGTGCTTGGTAAAAGAGGCTGCTAGACTCTCTATGACTTTGAGTTATTGGCTGCCTTTCCTTCTGGGGCCTGCTCCGAGAGTTAGGGGTGGCAGCACACAGATGGTTTTTTGCATGGGTGGGGCTGCTTCTTGTAATGAGGGTAAATTTGGCAGCTCTCTCTAACTTCTGTGATTCTAGGACATATAAATAAGGGATTAATGAGTAGGAAGGTGGTATTACATCTGCATATGGCAGTGGTGAGACCAATACTGGAATATTGCATCCAGTTCTGGTGCCCACATTTGAAAGAGGATTTTGAAAAATTGGAGAAGCTGTGGAAAAGCCTGGATTTGAACAATGCTTCAATGGCTAGAAAAAATGTCTTCTCTTGAAAGAGGCTTAAAGAGTTTGAGGTCTTTAGATTATCAAAAAGAAAACTGAGAGATGACTTAATTACGGTGTATAAGCACCTTTGGAGGGAGAAAACGCTAGCTACTAAAGAGCTCTTTAATCTAGCAGAGAAAGGCATAACAATCAAGGGCAGCAAGCTGAAATAAAGGCACCGAATAAAGAAAAAAGGCAACCTTTAAAAAAAAAAAAAAAAAAAGAACAAAACACAGTGAAGATAATTAACCACTGGAACAAATTACATGGGGAGGTGGTGGAGTCTCCATCTTTTGAAGTCTTTGAATCAAGACTGGATGACTTTCTGGAACATATGCTCAGTGAAACACCAGTTTTGGGGCTCCATATAAGAGTAACTGTATGAAATTCTACAGTTTGTGATATACAGGAAATCAGACTAGATGTTTTAGTGGCCCCTTCTGGCCTTAGTCTATTAATCAGTTCAAGGAAAAGGGGAGATAATGGGCCAATTTGCTCACGGCTTTGAACCCATCTCTGAAATTTTCATGATTTAAAAAAAAAAAAGTATTTCACCAGCTATAACAATGAGGCAAGCAACACAGGGGCTGAGAGCTCATTGAGACACTGCATTAATTTTCAGTGCAAGTTGAAGTCACCCCCGGGTTCATTCTGAGTGTCTCCAGAAGAGAATTAAGGGGTTAATGAAGGAAGATGTGCTGAAGTACTGGTGGGTGATCTGAATACCTCAAATGGGGAAGGAAACACCAGACTGAAAAAAAAGTTTTTTAAAAAGACAATACCTTCAATGTTCACCCATTTGTAGAACCAAACTTGAAAACTGGCCAGAACCAGAAGTGGCGAGATACTGCCAAAAGACTTTTTTCTGAGTTTTTCTAGCTGTGTCCTGAAGCGTACATGCTAGATATCTCATGAGAAAGCCTGTTAATCTGTGAGTGCCAGCCACGTTTTGTAAACTGTGGAAGAACGATCTTAACTCGGGTTTAACTGACCAAAATCTAAATTCTGAACCTTATGAGATTATTCTGTCACTAAGTATCTTTTAAACAAAAGTATATGTACATTTCTGCCTTAAAATTTGTTAATACACACAAAAAGACTGTAATACATTTAAGGTAGATGCTGTCCCTTACTGTAGCTGACCAGGAATTTCACAGCTATAATGCACAAGTATTAAACTCCTTTGCTAGCACAGTTCCAAATTGCTTCTTCAGGAAAAGACAGCAATGCAGTAGACTTACAGTGTAAGCATATTCTGTTACACTGGGAGACATGATATTTCTGGATTTTCTCACATTGTACTGTCTCTCCAAGCACTGTTTCAGATTATACTGTAGGGGTCAGCAACAGCTGTGCAGTCA